AATAAATAGTAGTACGAAACTGTTCTACATGAACATTACTTATTAAACTAATTATTAAATAATATAAAAAATTCATTTCTTATTATAATTATTAGTCAATTTTGGTATTATTCTTTACTTATTATTTATGTGGATAATTTAATAAAAAAAACTATATCAATAACAATGTTATTAGCAAATAAAGGAAAGATCACTAATTAACCAGCATATTGAAGGGCACAAGTAGAGATGGACTTTAACTAAAAAATAAAAATCGTGGAGTAGCCGTCCAATATTTGGATAATATTTGAGAGAGAGGCATGTGTGTATTTTCTTTAATGCTTTTGTAAAGTTTTCAAAAATTATAATAAAATGGAGGGGTATGGCTCCCCCATTTCCTTATATGATATGTAACTGGACAACTAGTATCCCTTGTGTAATTCAATAATATTGTTCGGATTTTGTTATGTTCTTAAGAGTTAAGAGCATTACTTTTACCTCTAATGAGTGATAGAAGGGGATAAAAGTGATTGTTTGAATCCTAAAATTGATAGTTCAAAACTATTTTTTTTGAGAAAAATTTTGCCCTTTGCCACAACACTCCATATGTAACATCCCTTGTTAGAAACGTTTATAAGAAATATTACATGATTTCTTTTATTTACATTTATATTTATGTTTCCACGTAGTCAGTGAGAAATAAGATTGAAAGGAATTGATGTTATTAATTAATACACATCGATGATAATAACAGTAAAGAAAATTATATAAACATCTACCAACATTACTTTATAGATAATGTTACGTCAGATACAAAAAGGAGTTATTTTACATAGGTCCTACAGTCTACTAAATATTACATCACTTCATTTTATATTTTACATCACATAACTATACAATACAAAAGTCTCATCCTAATCTAGCCTATAGGTGTAGGTCTCCACGCTATCAGCATAGAATATCGAAGCGGCTCCTTGATTTCCTACTACAATATAAAACTCCATGCGGTTCTCGTAAGAGTAAATATTGATACTCCATCCTTCACCTGTTAAGCTTAGACTAGGCATTATGATTTTCTGGAAAGGTTGGCACAAATCAAACACACGTGAGAAAATTCTTAGTAATATTGAGGTTTTCTAACTATAACCATTTCTAGCCGTAATAACGAGAAATATCATTCTCTCAGATAATTTAATAAAATGAAATAATATAATAAATAATACATTGTGTAATATTTAACTGAAGTTAAATAATTTTCCAACTTTGTGGTCTTCTGCATATGAAAGATTTATTATGGAGGAGCTCAAACCACGATAAGGCGTCCCTTACCATATAATCGTCTGAACCCAAACTCTGTGGTTCAGTTCATAGCAGTCTTCATCAGTTAAATTTACCTATTTTCTTCATAATTATTTGGTACCAAACAATTCGTCAATATGATAATCAGTTGTTGTAAAGAAATAAAATTTAAAAGAAAAATAATATACTGCAAAAGAATAAAAATCAAAGAATAAACTCAACAGAAAACATTTAAAGAAAAGAGTTCGGTAAGATGACAAAGATATTAAACTTAAACATCGTTTTCCCAAAATGATTGAAAAGAATACGAGAGAATATTTTTTAAACCTCTCAATATTACCTTCTGCTTCGTTACTGCCTCGTTGCTTTTCTTCTTTCTTTTTTTGTTGATTTCTCTTTCTCTCTCTCTCTGTTTCTCTTTTCGTTGGCCTCTCTCTTTTTTTTTCTTTTCTTCTTCGACGTATATATATATATATAAGAGACTGCTTACGTTCTAGTTAGATTCGAACGAACTAGTTAAATCGTAACTAAGTAATGATTGCTATTGAGATAATAACTATCCACGTTAACAGTTTCTAGAAAAATTTTGTAAGCCGTCCTCAGGTGCTTCCACGTTTACATACTACGTTTTATTTAGTTTCTGTAATATTTTATTTATCAATTATTATATTATTGTTATTATTTATTTTATTATTAACATATTATATATTATATACATTCATCTTACTATTTAATTACTTATTTCTTTTTATTATTATTATTATTATACATATACGTAAACATATATATATTTACGTTGACGTGCTTCGAGTAAAAATTGACGCGAACGACGCCACTATTAAGCGCCACTTTGGAGCAAAAGGCACCATAATTGGCGCTACTCGCGTCGGCCCCCTTTTTGTTGTTGTAATTTTGGCGCCAAGGATGCCATTTTTGATGCTACTTGCGTCAATTTTTTTATTTTTTTGAACATTACACCATACAAATTGTAAAAGCACTATATATATCTAAAAAAAGCATCACTTTTGTTTAAGTGAAAGATTTACATTTTTTTAGTAAATGAGAGATTTAAAATTTTAAGCTGGTATAGAAGGAATAAATATTCTCATTGTTTAAAGACATGAGTTACATTACAAAAAAAAAAAAAAGACATAAGTTCCCTTTCATATTTTACAGGTTATATTTTCCGTACATACATAAAATATTTTCCGTACATACATAATTTTAAAAAATAAGCTAATAAAAATTCTACAACTAAGGTTATAAATAATTTATAAATTAATTACATAACAGAAACTATGAATAACCCTGCCCTAATTAAAAATAAAATTTATAAAAAATTTAAAAATAAACTGATTTTAAAAAATATATGAGTGCTGAAATATTCTCCGATCAATAAAAGTCTGCTTTATAATTACGTACGCTTTCGAAAAGTAAGTGCAATACTTTTTTGAGGCTATGGGTACATTTTTCCAATGAAGATGACAATAATACAGTACTCCAAAAGTTTGGATTGTCACCTTTGTTTCTTTAGTTTTGTGATTGCCATATGGGCCAATCGGTTGGATCCACTTGTAGTTTCTGCTGATTTGATATATTTTCAGTAACCATACTTACACCGAAAAGACATTTCATGAATATCATATATTTTATTACAATTATTCACTTTTTCACTTTATTTCCTTTTTAACTTTTCCCCCTCTTATATCAATTGCCAATTTTTTGGACAAATTTTCTACTTATTTGGTTGAATTTGAATGACTCATTGATTTATCTAGAGGAATCTGACATTATTAAAATTAAAAATAAATTTATAAAATTTGTTATGTATATGAAAGATTCTTGTGATAAATTACATTAAGTTATTAGATGACACATTCTTGTTAAATTATGTTCTTAATTTTAAATTTACAATATTGTTTAGTCCATTCAATTTTTTCACATAATATTGGACGTCTTGTTACTATTAATTTGATTATATCTTGACTTTGGTCGAACCGCTTATTTGATCAATTTTACTTTATGACGAGATATTCAACTTCCAATCTGTCTGATACAACAATATAATTGTATATCTGTGGCATGAAAATTGTGTGCGCGTGTATCATTTTTATAGTTAAAGGATATCTTCTTAATTGCTTCTATAAAGATGTTTATGTGAAAAAAATGTTTGAGAATAACTAACCATCAATTATTATGCTGTGGTGAAAAAAAAATCACACTTTTGCATTGAGGATAGCTAAATTATTCGAAATGTATCACATTAACACTAATATGAGTATAAATCACTTTTCATTATATCTGATTAGCGAGAATGAAATGAGGATAATTCTTATTTATAGTTTTATCCTTACATATTTATAAAGAAGCTCCGATTCTTATACTAAACTAAAATTAGTATACATAATTTTTAAAAAGATGTTTCTTATACATTTATCTCTCAATTATTTGTGTTGCATTAGTATAGCTTGCTTGACATGTCATAAATTCCACAACTGTTAGGCAATTATGGTTGGAAATTCAAGATATAATTAGATGAGACAGAATAGAAATAGAAAGGATAGAATGGAGTGTTTGGACGAGGAAAGAAAAAATCCAAGTATAAAATTATGAACTTTTTTTATCGTTGTACCCGAACCCATTATTAAAAAAAAAGTTAAAAAGTGATCCTAGTCCTAGTATAAAACAAGATTCGGTCGAATACTATGTTAGATAATGTAAGTTGTGTTATATTAATATCTTATAATTATCTATTTTAGGAGTAAATAATTATAATATTAAAATTATTTTTTTCTCTCTTTATATCAACTGACAGCCTTGGAAAAGTGATTAAAGAGAATTTTTTTTTAATATTTATAATTATATATTTTTAAAAATATATAATTACATAGGGTTATGTTTATCTCATTTTACATGAGATAAACATCTCTCCTACACACACAAAAAGGGTTGGGTCCCACCACTTTTTTTTTCTCTCTCCTCTTACATGTGGGTCCCACTTATACTTTTGTTTCTACAACATAAGATAATTTTTTTCCTACAACATAAGAAAAATATATCTCAATTACATAATATAACATAATACTTAGATTTCTTATAAAACAATGGGATCCAGTCAAAGTGTCAAAAAGCCACACGCATAATAATCCCAGGTCGCTCCACAATCGACGACGAAGACAACGGGCACTAACATTAAAAAAACATTTTCTGTTGAGAATGAGATACTATTCCCTATCTCCCTCTGTACATTATTTTATTGCGTTTCTTAGGACTGGAACTGGACCAAAACTAACACAAGCACATACTTTCAATGATACCATCAATTATTCTATCCTGTGGATCTCATATGACACGTGTCACCACCTTATCTATAAGACGATGATGTCACTGACCAGCCGCCATTATGCAACGTTAAATCCTAGAAACGACAAACGTGGAAGGGTCTGCAATCTGCATAATAACACAATGCCAATGCCTAAAGGGTCCATCTTCTTTCTCTCTCTCTCTAGATGTGGCTCGGCATCACAAGTTCCACATTGCTTCTCTCTCTCTCTTTTACATGGACCCCACTTTTGGAAAACTTTGAAACTGATCTCTTTTCTCATTCATACCCCCTAGCCTTCTCGGCCTAATCTCTTCCACATAGCGACAAATTTCCACAACCATAAAATGCCTTCCCTTCTTCACACCCCAAAAATTTCAATCCTCTCTTTCCCATTTGTGTGCCTTTGCATTGCACTACAAAGTTTAGGCCTTTGTTTGCGTCCTTATCCTCTCACCAAACCTTCAAACATTTTTACTAGCCAACTAGGCACATGGGAACCCCAGAATCCAATTTGCCACCAGGTTTTAGGTTCCACCCAACTGATGCGGAGCTCATTCTTCACTATCTAAGGAAGAAATTAGCCTCCATACCCTTACCCGTTTCCATCATTGCTGAGGTTGATATCTACAAATTGGATCCATGGGATTTGCCAGGTTTGTTTCTCTCTTTCTATATATTCTAAGATACCATGTCAAGTCACTAAGTCATAGTGATGTACATCAATCTAGCACATACTTATAAATTAGTGTGATGTTGATGCTAGCTTTACTTTTTATTTGTTGTGGTTTCTTTTATCATCAGCTAAGGCTACCTTTGGGGAGAAAGAATGGTACTTTTTCAGTCCTAGAGACCGCAAGTACCCAAATGGTGCTAGGCCAAACAGAGCAGCTGCTTCAGGGTATTGGAAAGCCACTGGCACAGATAAGACCATAGTGGCATCATTGCCAGGTGGAGGAGGAGGAGGAAGCCAAGAGAACATTGGTGTTAAGAAGGCTTTGGTTTTCTACAAAGGAAGACCCCCAAAGGGTGTTAAGACCAATTGGATCATGCATGAATATCGCCTTGTAGACAATAATAAACCCATTAAGCTCAAAGACTCCTCCATGAGGGTAAGTGTCACAACCAACAAAACCACATGTTGATTATAAGTGATCATATTCCTTAAACACTTTTAATGACTGATATTATTGAGCTTTTGCAGTTAGATGATTGGGTACTGTGCCGGATTTACAAAAAGTCCAAATATTCTCTACCTTCAACAGAGGCAACAACAGTGGTAGATGAGATAGATCAAGCAGAAGAGCATCTATTCAAGGACACCCTTTTACCAATCACAAAAAGTCCAACCCCACCACCTCAGAACACACTGATATCTCAGAAATCTGTGTCCTTCTCCAACCTGTTGGATGCCATGGACTACTCCATGCTTAGCAGCTTCTTATCTGAGAACCATTCCAACCCTTCAGGGATTGGGTCTAGTGCAGGCTTCAACAGTGGGAATCTGGATCATTCATACACCCCAATCAACACCAGCAATAATAGTTACATGTTTCAGAAGAACCCCCAAATGAACATTTCAGTCCCCAACATGGAAAACATCAGGAACAAACGCCAGTTTTCAAACATAGATGAGGAAATGTTGTACCCATCAAAGAAATACCTGAGTTCCTCTTGCAATTTCCCTAAGATCAACGCTCAATATGAGAACCCACAATGGAGCTACCTCATGAAACAACCTTCATTGAATCAACAGTTACTTCTGGGTCCACATCTTCAATTTCAGGAATAATCCAAAAACCCCCCAAAAAAAAATTGTCAGAAAAAAAAAAAAAAGACTTTGAAAACAGATAAAGATATGTAAAATATCCTGAAGCTGAGCCCACCAAAGCACGCCACCAATTTGATCATTACGTAAGGATTAGTACACATAAAATGTAGCCCCTTTTTTTTTATTCCTCTTTAATTTGTGCTAGAGAGGTTAGATTGGAGATAGGAACTGTTAGGTATGGGATCAAAAGAAAGATTCCGCCATTCAAGAGTCAAGAAAACTGTGAATACAAAATTTCCAAGTATTATGACGAATTAGAAAGAATTGGTGTACAAAATGTTAATTTGTACGTATTGGGGGTTGGCAGGTTAGCTTTATAATATACTCTGTAGATAAGGCATTATTCTGGTTGTGATGATATTTCTCATTCTTTTCCGGGAAAGGCTAGCTATAAATTTTCTTTTAGATTTGGATTGCAACCTTATTCCACTTCTGTTTGTTTTAATAGTGCACCTTTATAATTCTGGCCGTTATTATTGACATGTTTTGAACCATGACATTCATATTGAACATATAAATAAATAAAGAACATCCATTAAATAATTCAGTAATATAAATTACATCAATTGGACAAATACTGGCTCCAAACTATAGATACCAAGTCCAACTTTATGTGGTTCCTTTTTAGATTGTGCAATGCCCAGCCAAGTCCAACTTTGCAACGCATCATTAAGCTCGTGCACTAATTCATATTTCATTTCCTTTTGTCTTCACATATTCCTTTTTATTTTATGTTTTGAAATACACCAAGTATAATTTACTCAATATAATATTCTCTAATTGAACACGCAAATACAAGTTTGTGTTTAGTGGCAGTGCTAAAACTTGATTATGGGAATGATACGGCTTAACATGAAATTAATATAGAAAAATATTAAGATGATTGTAATTTTTTAGAAATATATTTGAGTTAAATATACTATCAAAATATAAAATAAAATGTCGTTTTATAGTATAACTTATGCTTAACAAATTACTACAATTAATTTTAATTATAAAAAATATTTCTTCGTGTGAAATTATTATAAAAGAAAAATTTTAGAGAGAGAAAAGGTAGAAGATAATCATTTAGCAAATAACATTTTGGAGTAATGCTATAGAATCTGAATCATAAACTCGTGAAAATTATAATGAGATTCTGCAAGTTAAATACTGAATAAGTATTTACAAAAAAAAAAAAATACTGAATAAGTAATTGCCTTAACTCATTTAATGCATACACAGTAAAACTTTTAACTAGAACATTGAGGAGATTGTTTAATTTAACGAAAATATATTTCAGCATTTTTCTTTTGTCACAGAAGGTTGCATGAGGTTAATCCTTATCTCGTATTCTTCTAACTGTTTCCCACGTACTGTTCTTGATTAATTAATCTTCAAGTTTGTTGAGCGGATTTTGACCCCGTGTGTTAACAACAACGAATCAGAAGGAAGAAAATATGAATTACTCCTATAACCATCAATACAATATGATTGGTGTGCTCACCAAACTCCATTTATTTTAATCTATTTTATCTTTTCAATTCCCCTTCTTGCTCAGTCCTATGCAAAACGCTTGCAATCTTTTGTGTGTAAAGTACCCTCCAATGTCTATATTCTGTTATTATTCTTTATTGCGACGAAGAAATTAAAATAAAAAAACAAAAAGGTAGCACCGAAAATGAAAAACAAAAAATAAAAGAATCATTCTTTTTTTTTTAAGTACAAAAGAATCATTCTTTTTAGTCAATATGTACATACAAGATACACTCTATGGGACGTTTGATAGGGGAGAAATTTTTTTTACCAAAAAAATACAATTACTAGAAATATGATGAAAAAGTGAGTTTGATATGAAAGTTAAAAAAAATTTATTTAGTTGGCCAAAATATTACCGGGAAAGTGGTATTGTTGCACAGTGTTTTTGGTCCTCTTTCTTCCATTTAACCGATTATCTTCGAATACCATGTTGGAAGTGGTATTGTTGCACAGTATTTTTGGTCTCAATTTCCACACAATTGTCTAAAGCGGGGCAAATCAATTTGCTAACAAAATTTTTGAATGTCTTCTACCAAACAAAGACCCCGTAGAATACCAATCTCAGTTGTATAAGTATCTTAAAAAAAAAACATCTACCAAACACTACCCTAATAAAGTCTAAATAAGCTATTGACCCAATTAACCCAACAAATATTTGGATAGGGTTAATAAATAATAAACCCACAATAGTTTTAGTAGTCGAAATTAAAATGGCGGAAAAATATCTGGCCCAAATGATTATCAGCCCAATTCAAGATTGTTTTTGTTCAAGCATGCAAAGTTAAACCGGAAGGTTGGGCCCGGAGGGGGGAGGGGAGGTGTGGGACGTTTGTCTGAGTACATGTAAAAATCTGTGAATTTATTTGGATTAGCCTTTTTTTATTAAAAATAAAATAAAAATAGTTTATCAGATTTTTGAAAAAAAAAATAAAAAATTTTTTTTTTTTAAAATAAACTGTTAATTATCTAACATGTTATTAATAAAAATCTAACAAAAGACTTAATTATAGATCATAATTCATCAACATAAGACTCCTACAATCAAACCCAAGTTGATTAGTTTTATTCAAATGGATGGGAATATCCCTGAAAATCCAAAAAAATTAAAATTAAAATCAAGCCCAAGCTATATTTTTGTCAAGCAAATAAGAACAAAGTGAACCAACCATTGAAGTTGAAGCTTTAACAGCACTCTATGTTTTGTATTGCTTTCTCTCTTTTGATAAATTACAATCTTGTAACGTTGGTTTTATTAAAGTATGCCCCGCCTTGTTTTAAAAGAGAAAGATATATATATATATATATATATATATATATATATATATATATATATATATACCCTTTTCTGTGAAAAATAAGAAAGATATACCTTTTAATTAGAAAGACACGTTTTTCAGTACTAGATTTTGAAACTTTTACATTAATTAAGTTTGAGCTTATATTAGTTTATTATGTATTTAAAATAAATTATAATCACCTGATGAGTGTAGCTTAGTTGATAATACAGGCTAAGTAGGTGGAGAAAATACTTACATTTGATTCTCACGAAATATATTTTAAGGGTGAGATAATGAATTTTAATTGTAACTCAAGCGTGTGAAGATATTTAGAGAACCCACTCGCCTCAATAAGGTAATTACTGTAGCTATACCAAACAAAATTATAATCAAAAGTTTATTTAAAAGGTTTTGAACAAAATTATTTTTCCCATTAATTGATGAGTCGGTTGAGAAAATAAAAAAAGATATATTGTTTTTAGATTAATCTTATCCAAACATGTTATAATTATCAGTTTAAAGTCAATAATTAATAAATATTTTTTTCCCATTAATTGATGAGTCAAAGATATTTTCACGGTAAACAAAATTAACTTTGAAGTAATACCCAATAATTTTTCCAAAAAAAAACCTCACAAAACAAGATTATGAAACTCTTTTAATAAGTGAGATATTTCTTCAAAAAAATATTGTTACAATCATGCTTTGGAAGTAATTATAATTTATATAATGTATATACCTAAATAAGTTTGACACTTTAAAGTATGTTTCATAAAAAATATTGTCTAGTAAATTCTTTGCCAATCAATTCTTAATTTCTTATACAATCCATTTATATTACAATCATTTATTTTAATAAGTGGAGGTGCCCTGGATTGTGATCAATGGTTGATATCATTGTACACTCCGTAGTTCACTTGGCTATGATAATTGATAAGGGGAGAAATTATTGCATAATATCAGAGCGTCACTTAGGATATTGCATTCTCTTTATTTACATTTTAATATTTTAATTATATGATGAGATTTATTACTCATTTGTGTAGTTATGTAAGTCTTGTTATTGATTAAGATTAAAATATCAAAATATTGATAGAATAAGTAACATGTTACCTAATACTTAAATAAATAGCATGTGAGTTTACCAAAAAAAAATAAAAATAAAATAGCATGTGATAATTTCTCTAATAGGAGATATTTGAGGTCACTACCAAAAGAGAGATTATATATGATTTTCTGAATGGAACTGATAAGCTTTGAGTCTTGAAAGCTCAGGTATTGAGGTTAACTGAACGCCGTGAGTCCTATTATAAGGCTAGATTTTGTCACTGGTTAAAAAAAAAAAAAAGTGAATTAATGGACCTGATTATCGATGATTCGGTCCAAATCATGGACTGATTTTAGTGGGCAAAAAATTTCTTCTTAACCCAAGTGGACCCACATTTTGTTTTTGTTACATCAAGTGGACACATTTTTTAGTTTAGACTTCAGTTTTCCTTAAATCTGATACTGACCTATTACTAAATCCTAAACCATTTACCTTCACAATTATTGTCATCGTTTGCACTGTCTTGATCTCCACCACTTCCTTGTGTTTCAATTGAAGACGACCTTTTTATGTAAGTAAAATTATCAGATATAACCTTATATATAGAACATACAATCTTCAATTATCTTATCAAATCATTTTCTCTTGTTTAAAGAACGGGCAATTTCCTGTCACTTAACCAAATATGACATCCAATTCGCACTAGAACTTTTTTCCTTTTTTGAAATTCTATTAGTTGGAATGCATTTAGTTTTATAAATAGGTTAAATTGTATAATCCGTTAGAAGTTTCATTGTCAAAGACTAGTATAATTGCATACGTCTCATACACTTCTTACGCAAAAGCATTTATTTTGTACTTGAAGTGTGAACAAAGTACAAGAGTTATTTTATATATATGGCTGAAATGTTCTATGGGTCCAGCAGTATCAGTATTGACCGCAATTTCTCTTTGCTTAACAGAATGCAGTGTTAAATTTTGCAAAGGTGGTAAAGTGCAAAACAACAGCTAGTTTTCTGCACCTTATATTTCATAATCCTAGAGGCCATAAAATTAAATGGTGATAAGAAAAGTATTTATGAGCCTACGTTAAGAAGAGAATTTAGATTAAATCATAAAAATAAACAAAGTCTTCAATTTATATTTGTCCAAAAGTTGTTATCTTTTCTTAATCCCCTCCCAAAGTTAAGCGAATTCTCCCCCACATCATATCCATAAAAAAAAAAAATTACATATAACTCAACCTTGTTAATCCATTTAATTTCAATTTACCATTTCGCAAAAACTTTAATCATTCATTCTGAAGAGTGAAGACCTGAAGAAACTGATTCAACTCCATTCGTATCAGAAACTGCTACTTCAAACTCGAATATGTAGGATACCACTCCCTTTTTTTTTTCTTGCACTCTCAAATGGATACAACCAAGTAAGATCATTTACTTGTAAGGGAAAACAATTGCATCTGTGTTAGTACTATAACAAGGATAAACTAGTTGGGGAGGATCAAGTATACTAAATTGAAACACACCAGAATCCAACT